CCCTCTCACTGTGCCTTCCTATTTGCAGTTGATAGTATCCCCATACCTAGAAACGTGACAAAAGCTTTAAAATACCTTGAATGGACAGATGCTATGAAGGAGGAGATCAATGCCCTCCACAAGAATCAAACATGGGAGTTGGTGGATCTTCCAACAGGGAAAGACCCAGTGGGGTGTAAGTGGGTGTTTATAGTGAAACACAAGGAAGATGAGACAGTTGAAAGGTACAAAGCAAGGCTGGTAACTAAAGGGTACACCCAAGTTTATTGTGTTGACTATGATGAGACATTTGCCCCAATAGCCAAGATGAACTCATTAAGGGTTCTTCTATCATTGGTTGCAAACCTTGACTGGAAATTGCATCAACTAGATATTAAGAATGTCTTTTTAAATGGAGATTTGGAGGAGGAGGTGTACATGGTTCAACCCCCTGGTTTTTGTGCAAAAGGAAGTGAAAGTAAGGTGTGAAAATTAAGAAAGTCGCTCTATGGCCTAAAACAATCTCCTCGAGCGTGGTTTAGTAAATTTCATATGGTAGTTCAACAAGTGGGGGTTTAAACAATGTCAGTCTTATCACACTCTCTTTGTGAAGAGATATCAAGAAGAAGTGGTTGTGTTAATAGTGTACGTAGATGATATCATCATTACAGGAAACTAGAGCACAGAAATACAAAATTTGAAGGAATTCCTAACCTCTCAATTTGAAGTGAAAGATCTGGGTCTCCTAAAGTACTTTCTTGGAATTGAAGTTGCCCGCTCAAAAAGGGGCATCTTCATCTCTCAGAGGAAGTATATCCTAGATTTGTTACAGGATACAGGCAAGTTAGGTGCAAAACCAGTCAATACCCCTATGGATGTTGACCACAAACTGGGAAATTGTGATGGTGAACCACTAAAAGATGTGAAACAGTTTCAAAGACTAGTGGGGAGGTTGCTTTATTTGTCCATGACTCGCCCTGACATTGCTTACTTAGTTGGGGTCCTAAGCCAATTCATGCATTCCCCTAAAAGACAACACATGGAGGCAGCAGAGAGGATTCTTAGGTACTTGAAGAAATATCCAGGAACAGGGTTACTATTCAGCAAACATAATGATTTGAAGGTGGAAGTCTACACAGATGCTGACTGGGCAGGCGTTGTGGATGATAAAAAATCCACAAGTGGGTATTGTACCTTTGTAGGAGGAAATCTAGTGACATGGAGAAGTAAGAAGCAAAGTGTAGTGGCAAGGTCAAGTTTTGAAGCAGAGTATAGAGCTATGGCACACGGGGTGGCTGAAGTTCTTTGGCTGAAGAACCTTTTAGGAGAACTTGGGGTTATAATCCACAATCTTATGTCCCTCTACAGTGACAATAAGGCAGCCATTAACATTGCTAGTAATCCAATCCTACATGATAGGACCAAGCACATTGAGGTGGACAAGCATTTCATAAGAGAAAAGTTGGAAAAGGGAGAAATTTGAACCCCTTATGTCAAATCCAAGGAGCAACTTGCAAATGTTCTCACAAAAGGGCTTCCACACCTGCAGCACAATGAGCTATGTGACAAGTTGGGCATGATAGATATTCAACCCAACTTGAGGGGGAGTGTTGTTAGTTTTAATTATGTTGTTACCATGCTGTCAGCTAAGACTGTTGGCAGCATGTTCTTTTCTTTTGTTTAGGGTGTGCCACCAGGGACCTATGAGCAATTTCTTGTAATTGTTATAATACAAGTTTAAAAAAAAGAGAGGTCAGGCACCGCCAACTCTCATCTTTCTCTTCTTCTTCTTCTCCTCTCCTCTCTTCTCTCTTCTCTCTTCTCTCTTATTCCTCTTCCTTGAACGATCACAAACCACATACTCGATACTCACATATGTATATTGTTTATCTACCAACCATGTCCAGAATAAATGGATCTTTAAAGTATGGGCCATAATTGTAACTGATTATGATTGAGCGTAATGTCTATGGACCAACAGTTTTTAAAAGCGCAAGGTGCAAAAAAGCACAAGCGAGGCATGCACATTTTTTAAGCAAGATGCAAAAAAAAATGCAAGAAAAAATCCAAAAATTCACAAATTAAAAAATTAAAAAATATTAAACATAATATTAATTAAAAATATACACTTAAATTTTAAAATAAATGTTTAAGAATAAACCTATTATCTCAAATTAAAATACATGAGCATAACATGTAAAACATATTAAAAATCATAAAGGATATTTTTAAAAGACAATTAAAATTATAAAATCATTTTTTTGTACGGATTAAGAATTTAAGACCCTAACATGGACTTGTTTGGGCTTAACTCAAGGGGCTTGGTCAGGGATCCAGGGGCGGAGCTTGGATTGAAGTGCAAGGTGCATCAAGTGCATGCCTTTTGAAAGTGCTGCTCCTGGGGCCTAGGTGAGGAGCATACCGTAAAATGTGCCTCACTTGTGTGCCTAAGCATGCCTTTTAAATCCCAAACCCTAGTAATCAAGGAAAGTATGGAAGGCATATGGATAATTCACCCTTAAAGGAATAATTCCCCTCTCTTTATGCCCTTTCCAATCATAGGGATGAGTCTCAAATAAGTAGTGTTTTGACTTTGCTCCAAGGTCTTGAAGGGGAGTTCTTGGATCCTTCAAAAAGGGATAGCTAGATTTAGACTCTTTCCTCCTCTGGTTCCCTTACTTGTACCTCATTCTTTCTGTCCTTAATATATTCAGGTCGCCTTGGAGTACCTTTTCCTATAAAGGAGGTTTGGAGCAAGCCTATTCCGCCTAGGATAGGAGGTTTCTACTCGGAAGTGTTTCTAGAAAGAATTAACACCTACGATTTACTTCAAAGAAAAAGACCTAATGGGTGCTCATCCCCCCACTAGTGTTCTCTTTGTAAGAACAATGGAGAGACTTGCTATCACTTATTAATCTCCTAACCCCTTGCATCTTCAATTTGGGAGTGGTTTCTTTCTTTGTTTGGGTGCAAGTGGAAACCCCCACCAAATGTACAATGCATGTTTGCCTCTACCTTTGTTAGCTAGATGAATAAGAGGGGAAAAAGTTTATGGAGGTGTACAAGGGTGGCTGTTTGTTGGAAAATTTGGGAAGAAAAGAATCAAGGAACATTTTTACAAAAGGAGAGGAGTAGGGATTCCCTTATTGAAGCCATTACTATTAGAGTAGTGCATTGGGTGAAGTCCTTGAAACTCTATGAGGACATTCCAGTTGGTGACTTGATGAAAAAGTGGAAGTAGCTGACTCAGCTCCCCTCAAGGCCTTCATTAGGCCCATCTTAATCCCCACCTTCTGGTGGATTCATAAAGCTGAATTTTGATGGAAGTAGTGAAGGAAATTTGGGTCCTTCAGGCATTCGAGGAGTCTTCAAAAATGATGAAGGAAGAATTATTGCTCTTTATTTAGGTCCAATTGGTGTGGGTGATTCTTTGAGGGCTGAAATAATGGCTATCATGGAAGGAATTCAAAAGGCTAAGGAGCTGCACATCCGCAAACTGACAACTGAAGGGGATTTAAAGCTAGTATATTATTGGAAAGAATCAACACTTGTGAAAGAGGCCTAAAAGTTGTTTTTCTCTTCATTGGTGTGTTCTATGCAAAGCTGAAGGTGAGATGTTTATCATTTATTAATCTCCTGCAATTTTGCTAAATGTATTTGGGAATGATTCTTTTCTTTGTTTTGGTGTAGGTGGACTCCCCGCCAGATGTGCAATGTCTGTTTGCCCCAATGTTTTTTAGATGGCACAATGAAAAGAGGGAGAATTATGCGGAGAAGTGTAAGGGTTGTGGTTTGCTGAACTTTATGGGAAGAAAGGAACTTAAGAATCTTTTCAGATAAAGAAAGAGGGCTACAATCTGCCTTGGAGGTGATTCACATCTGAGTGGAGTGGTGCACTAGCTGTATTGTTTAATGACCTCTCAATTGATGATTTGCTAAGGAATCAAAAGGAGGTTGCAAGGTCAGCTCCTGTGGTGGTGCCTTCTTTACATGCTTGGGCTCCTCCTCCTAGTCCTAGTGAATTTACCAAGTTGAATTTGATGGAACTTTTGTTGGGAATCCAAGGCCTTCGGGCATTGGGGGAGTTCTAAAGAATGAGGAAGGAAACATAATTGCTCTTTTTTCTGGTCCAATAGGAGTGTGATTCTCTTCGGGCTGAGATCATGGCAGCCTTGGAAGGTGTACAAAGAGCCAAGGATTTGGGTATTACTAAACTGATTATAGGAGACTCCAAGTTGGTGGTGGGCTGGCTAAAGGAAGGGATAACTGGTTTTTGGAACTGTAGCAATGAAAAGAGGAAATTTAAGTGGATGGCAAAGGATATTGAGATTAAGCTCAATTGGGTTAAAAGAAGTGCCAACTCTTTTGTTGATGAGTTAGCTAAGCAAGGGATGAATAGGGATGCTTTGCTTTTGATTCTTTTGGTTGGGGAGTTAAGAGAGTTTATCTCCCCTTTCCTTTCCACTTAATATTATTCTTAATGAAAGTTATTTGTTATTGATCAAAAAAATGCTAGTTATAAGTTGGCTGCAAAAGAAGGAGGATGCTGGTTGGTGGGGCTACATTAACAGAAAAAGGAAGATCAAGTGGCTATCACAAGGAATGGAGGTTAATCTACAATGGGTGAAAAGAGATGCTAATTCCTTTGCTGATGCATTGGCTAAACAAGGGGTGGGAAGGAACCAACTTTTTTGGGCTTTGTTGTAAACATGGGTTTTTTTTATTAAGGGAGAGCTAAGAGAGTTTATCTCTCCCCTCCTCATTGTATTTCTTCATTTTAAAATGAATGATTCTGTTTTATTTATTGATAAAAAAACCTGGGTAATTGGTTACCCCATTGACACCCTTAAAGCCAAAGCTTAAGTTTGACTTGCTTTTTTAAAAATTAAAGAACTACTATAGATACCCAAATTCAACATCTTAATCTAGCTCTGCAAATCAACATATTAATTGTCTAATTTCCAATGGTTCTCAAACAATTCTCTAACAAGAAAAATCAGAAACTCCTACAAGCATCATACCTTCTCAGTTTCTCCAACCTCAGCGGATTTAGTAATACGGAAGTTCAGTGCTTCTTCCTTTTGTTGCCTGCTTAGAATGCAGAAGGAAAAACTTAGGAAATATTACAGTAACTTTCTGGCCCATGGATGGAGACAGGTCACTTTTGAAGCAGAAGCAACTTACGTAATGCATCCAAAATAAAATTGGATTTATATTTCTTCTATTTATTTTCATTTCAACTAATCAATTGTATCCACCAAAAAAATTCCAGTACATTAAGAATAATAATAAATTAATTAAAAACTAAAAAGTGTCAATACATGGATGAAAAACTTGTATGAGGTATAGGCATATCATGAAAGTTTAACACATGGTTAGCATATATTTTCTGTTTAGAAAGTTGATGGTAGATAAATATCATTTTTTATAACTGTAAATATTTATTATTTGTTTCAAAACAATTCTATGTGCATAGTCTTATTCAGAAACACCCCTCATCATTTGGGCTAGTTCTACTAGACACCCAACACATGCATTTTGTACAAGTCCCTTATTGGACCAAATCCCAAAAAGCTTGTTCCCTGTTTAGTTAATCCATATGCCAACCTGTTGGCAACCCTTTGTCTCCACTTGTAGAAGATTCTTAACTCTGCTGTCAGTTGTTTTATCTCCCTTAAAATGCTTCTACAGATCCATAGACCAGTCTCCCTTTCTCTTAGTCATCCTACATTTTTTTTATTGGAAACAGTATAGGCATCCTACAATTGTTTGGGAGTCAATTCCACTAACTCAGCTCTTGTGAGTTTCCATAGCCAATTAGTTCTGAGTATAGGTCTATTATTTTACCTCCATAATCTCTAAAATCAGTAATATACTTCCATGTCAAATAACAAATGAGTAAAAACTAAATCAAGTATAATCAAAATCCTGAATCATCTTTAAGCCAATTAAGAAAACATGAAATTTCTAATATTGTTTTTTGATATTTACTTGGGACCTTTTTGATAACAAAGAATTTGAATTAATGGAAAAAAGTACAGAAAGGCATTGAGTGTAGAGATGTTGTGACTAGTGGCTGAGATAATGGTGCTGAATTCCCAACTTCACTCTCCAACTGAGTCAGAGCAGCTCGGACAGTAGCTAAGGTGTCTAGGGATGTGGCTCTTGTGCTAGATGATGGTGCACCATCAGTAGTAACAGCCACATTGGCATTTCCCCTTTTGTTTATGAGCTTTGCTGGAACTAGATGTGGATATAACTTCCAACAGGTGTCTTTTAGTATGCCTTGGTTTCTTGCAATATTCACATACTAGCTCCCTCTTATCTTCCTTCTTCATATCCCTTTCCTTGTCACCCCCAAACTTTGGTTTCACTGCTGCTAAGGCTGATTCCAATGGCTGATGCTGCAACATAACCTTTCTCCTACTTTCTTCACTATGCACTAAAGAGTAGGCTTGTGACAAGGTCACACTTTCTCAGGTGAGGAGTTGTTGTCTCACAATATCATATTCAGAATTCAGACCGGCTAGGAATTCTAACACCTATTGGTTTCAACTTGTTTTCTGTAAGTTTGGGCATCCCTCTGACTTTCCCATTCAATTGTCTCTAGGTGGTCAATTTCATGCCACAAGGATTTCAAAGTGGAGAAGTAAACTGAGACCGGTTTCTCTCCTTGCTTAAGGTTGTTTACTTCACATTCCAGCTCATAGGCCCCAGCAACATTAAGTGGTTGGGAATAGGTTTCTTTCATGATTCCCCAAATCTCCTTAACAGTTTTTGCCCACAAGTAGTTTTGGCTGATGTGAGGCTGCATGGAGTTGCACAGCCAAGTCATAACCAAATAGTTCTCTTGAACCCATTTGGCATAGGTTGGGTCCTCCTTAGTTGGTTCCTTCACATCCCCCAACAAATAGTTCAGTTTTCCTCTACCCCCAACAGCCATCTTGGCTGACTGGGCCCATTCCAAGTAATTTGATCCGTCAAATTTGACAGTGGTGATCTGAAATGTGTTCTCAGTCATGTAACCAGAACCACCAGCCCCCAAAACACTTTCCCCTTGATTCTTAAACTCCATTCCTGCCAGCCCTTTCAAGAGATTGATCAAAAAAGCCCCTTTTAGTGCTTAAAAAGGTGTAATTGCACCAAGAACTTGCTAACAACCGACCTAGAAGGATGAAATAGGTTCGGCAACCACCCAGAAATATTGAAACAGGTCTAATAGTTTTCCAGAAAACAATATTACTCAATCTGAAATACTGTAACAGGTCTAACTGTTACCCAAGAATTGGCAACAGTCATAAACTTAGGGTTTTAAACTGAGAACTGGGCGTACGTCAAGAGAAAACCCTAACAATCATGAGAAAAATAGAAAACTCCCAGCCGCACCTTCCAGATTATTCAAAAAAGGTTTTGATTGAGGTCAATCTCAAGAACAAACACAAACTCACTCAGAAAAGTCTGGCCGCCACCTCCAAACCACAGTCTGAACCCTAATCTTAAAGTTTCTTCCCTTCTTCCGATTCTTTCCGATCACTGGACACCCTCCAAGGCTCTACGATCCCTTGGGCATCTGCTGCGCTCTGCTAGCAATCTCCAAGAATCAGTCGATTGACTTATCTCTGTTGAAACTTCCAACCCTAGGAAGTTCTCATGTAGTCGGCCAGATTAGACTCACATGAGGAGCCCTAGGTTGGTTCTGATACCAAGTTGTCTACTAGGACTGCAATCAGTCCTAGTCGTAATGTACAACAAACAAGAAAGAAAGTTTGAGAATAAGAGAAGAAGAATAAAGAGGAGAAGAGAAGGAGAAGATGAAGAGTAGAAAGTCAAAAAGAGTGTGGGCCATAACTTAGATTGTCGCCCCACTCAGATATTTATATTAATAGTTTAAATAGGGTAAAAAACCAGAATTACCCCTACTGCTTAACATAAGCTAAGAAATAATAGAAAACAGAAAATAATTAACAACTACCACTAAGTAACATAAATAGACAAACAGTAGTGGGGACCACATTAATGTTCTACATCTCTACAGAAAAGACACAAGTACAAGACTGATGCACAATATAACACTGCTCCCACCCCCACTTACCCTCACAATTCACCCATGTGATTGATGTTTTAAGCTATCTAGTGCCCAAAGTCAATAGAAAAGGGCATTTAATATGTTTCAAGGTGGGGTAAGAGGAAGAGTGGTATCCCATCTTTTTATGGTAAATAGAAAGAAATTTTAATAGAAATAAGTACAATGTTAATAGGGTGATGAACTAGCACCCTTACAATACAGCATCAAAACAAATTAACAATTACATAATTGACCATTCAATTATTCCCCAACACCTAGCACCAAACAAAGGGTTATACAATGCCAGGGAGTAGTGCATCCCCAGAAATCACAAAAACAAATAAAACTCAGAGACCAAGGAGTCAAGGACAACTCAACAAAACAACAAACTCAGAAACATGACCAAAATTACGGGTGCAACTTGGGCAGGTTGGATCGGGATGAAGGTCAACCTTAGCCCAACCATAAATGTGCAAACCTCAGGCTTGGACCTGGTCCAACTAGAGCTTAACCCAACACAACTCGGGCTGGGCTCAGACTTGAGTTGGGTTGGGCCAAGCTTGGGTGGGTTGGTCAGGTTTGAAAAAAATTTATGAACATATTTTTGTATAGCCATCTTTTATTAAGCTTTATGGCCCAATTTAAGAGTAGAATTGATTGAAAATATCTGCATGTCTCATTTACAAATGTATGTATACACATTCTATGAATATACATATGTATATATAACTAGTAAGTGTGCACGTGCTTTGCACATGGAAATTTTTAATGATGATGGTGATGATAATAAATAATATGTTTTCAAAATTTTCTACAATTTTTTTATATTTCTATGCTTGTACAAATTATCCTTATTTGTCACACTTATTCTTATTTAATATAATGAATATATGATATTAGAGATGTGCCCAAATGATTGCTACAAATTTTTTTGTATTCTTTATACTTTTGTATGTTTTCATCTTTTTTAATTCTTATTACTATTAAATTATGACATCAAGGGTTGACACATTTGATCCAAAAGGTTGAACTGTTGACTCACCACCAAGTGGGAAAATAACTCTGTTTTCGGGTAGTTACCAAAAAAGCTCCATTTTGGGGTTGGTTTTAAATTTGTATATCAACTAATGAGTGGCTCAATTGGTACATTGGCTAGCTCACTCCAACAGAGACTTGGGATTGATTCCAATCAATGGTCACCAAGGTTGGGGGTAATGGGTATGGGGATGGATTGCCCCTTGTTGTGTTGCTCAATGAACCAAAGAAAAAAAAATTATGTTTTATTTCTATAACCAATAAAAACAATTATTCTTTGTCACGCTTATTTTTCTTTAATATGGTTAATTAATACAGGATTCAATGAAAGAATGAGGGTTAATACCCTAAATATAAGGCATAATGAGAGGGAATTGAATGAAGAGAAATGTAGTAGTTCAAATTACATTTTGTGCCCTTACAATTAGAGAGAGACCAAATTCAAAAATAGGGGTGTTCTAATCAAGAATAGGATTCAATGAATGTTGATGGGAAATAATACCTTAAATATAAAACTTAATGAGAGGGATTTGAATGAGGAGAAAAGTGGTTGTTCAAATTATATTTTTGTCCTTACAATTAGAGAGGGACCAAATTCAAAAATTAGGGAATTTTAGTCAAACAAAAGTTTCACTCTCATTCACACTTTTAATAGTAGTATAGATTAGAAAATTATATTTTATATAAATAAAATGCATATATGTATGTATTTGTTCAGATGGTCTCAGGTTGGGTCGGGCCTAGGTTAGATTGGGCCGGGCTCAAGCTACCTAAGGCCTCAACCCAAACCCAACCTAAGTTTAGGTCAAGCTCAAGTTTTCTGGCCCAGAACCATCCCACAGCCCCAAAATCAAGACCCAAAAGTCTATACAAAAAGCTTGGGTTGGACCGGGTTGGGCTCAGATTGTGCTTGCCCAGTTACAGCCTTAACCAAAATTTACTGGCCAACCAGCGGCCTGATTGGCTTCTTTGTACATGTGAGAGTAGA